TTAGTTGCGTATAATTTATTAGCAAGCACCTATTAGCTAAAAGTGCTAATAGATCAAATGACTGTGGTTATACAGTGAGTGTGGTTAATTTAATACTTATAAACAACTGATAAACTTATTTTAATTGTATTAAAAACTTGTGAAAGGGGGCAGTGATATAGTGTAACATACATTGTGGGCATTCGTATTGATAGTCATAAACATTGCACTGAATTGAATGCAATTGAATGAGTGACTGAATGACAAAACACTTGACATCGCATTGAATGCACTGTTTATACGACTTTTAACTATCATTTAAAACACTAATCATTAACACAAAAGCCATTAATTGTATGACAAGTGCAGTGAATATAGTGTGTAATCATAGCATACATTGCATTCACTGTTCACACAGTGTTTAGTCTATTTGTAATCAAAGTGTGTATTGAGTGCTAAAAGTAAGTGATTTTTTGTTGTATTCATTGCTGTCTTATTAATATCTTGTAATTTGTGTATTTTAGTGAACCATTCCTCTGGTGTCTCATTATCTCGTCAGTGAATACAGCGTTGGCGACAACAACACCACACGTGGATATCATGGGCTCCACACCAGACATACCGTCGCAGATGTTGCACAAGAAGTAAGTGTTGATTGTGTGGACCAATTGGGTGACAGATGTCTGGAGTTTTGTGTGGACACCGATCGCCCACCCTTTCGATGATAAGATAATGTGTTTAATGTATTGATTTTAACGCATTTCGTGTGATATAGACTTCAAAGATCTCATTCGTTAACAATGGATGAGTCGATCGGTGGCGACGAGTCGACCGCTGATGATAACGCATCCGGCGATCACTCGCTCACGAAACCACTCATTCAACTGCAGCAGGACTTGGATGAGGTATGGATGCGGTTCACTACGAGTGATATCTCGTGAATTGGGCGCCGATTGGTCACTGTTTGTATTGATACCAATGTCTTTTATGGCGATCTCTTAGAGCGCCGACAACAGCAGTAACAACCAAGAAGTGGATGACAACGAGTCGACAGTGGGTCTGAAGCTGAAGATGTCGTGCGAGATGTGTAAGAACTATGAGATCCAACTCCAGGAGATGCAGTACAACGAAGTGGTGATGAGTTTGCAGTTAGAGAACTACGAGAAGACCATTAAGCAGTTGAGGGATGAGTTGAAAAAAGAGCAAAACTTTCGCTCAGATCTCGAGGAGAAGTTCAACGACGAGGCCAAGAGAGCCGACAAAGACATCCGAGAGCTGTGCCTTCGCGTGGATGAGAGTCAACGCACGATCGATGTGCTGGCGAAGAGTCATCAGGAGTTGCGGAAAGAGGCGAACGATATCATCGGGAACCTCATGACACAGATGGAGGAGTCGGGCAAAGAGCTGAACCGCATTCAGACCGACAATAACCTACTTCTGGGTAAATATGTGGCCAAAAGTCAGACGCTTCAGAACGAGACCATAGATCTGCCGCAAGATATGGACGAAATGCAGTTCTATTGCCTGAAACTGCGCGAAGAGTTGATCACAACTCTCGTGGCGAAGGAGAGGAATGAGGAGAAGTTCAAGAGTGAGATACTGTTCCTGAAGGAGCAGATGATTGGCGAACAGCAGACCAAAGAGACCATTGAGGAGAGTCTGACGCAAGACAACGATATGTTGCGGTCGACGGTCGAGTCGCTGCAGACGGAGCTTAAGGACGTTAAGGGAAGGTATGAGGAGAACGAGCAGCAGTTGTACCACTGCTCCGACAGGTTGTCCAGACTGACCGATAAGTCGCAGCACCGGATCCAGGAGTTGGAGATTCAGAACAATGATCTCAGCGCCGCAAAGGTCTGCGGATCAGCTCTCGAGTGACACATTCATTGATCTAATGGTGTGATTATCTGTTGATTTTTTAGGCGAAATTCGAGTCCGACAACTCTGACCTCAGGAATCAGGTGCAGAGCCTTCAGGTGGAACTGGACAACAGCGAAGCCGTACAAAAGGACTTTGTTAAGTTATCCCAGTCGCTACAAGTATGGATCCATTGCGCGATGTCTTAATGTGTTACTCATGGTGTAAATTGTTGTCCACCGAATAGATCCAATTGGAAAAGATTCGCCAATCGGATAGTGAGGTGCGTTGGCAGCACGAGGACGACATCGTTGAGTGTAATTCCTGTAAAAAGGCGTTCCACTCGAAAAAGGAGAAAGTAATGGACAGTTTGCTAAAGTTTTTTAAGAAATAAATTGATTTGTTGTTTTGTTTTTTGCTGACACCCCTGTCCCCCAACCATTTTTCTGTATTACAGTCTCACTGTTGCCATTGCGGGCGTGTATTCTGTCACGAATGCAATAATAAAGTGATTTATAGCGGACCAAAGAGCCGGCCATTCAAAGTGTGCGGCGTTTGCCACACGTTGTTAGATAACCAGACGGCCTGTTGGTTCGTCAATGAGGCCCCGCAAAGCCCCACCTGATCAGCGACGCAACCACCCGTTCCCCTCATACACTACCCCCGCACTCACTCGCTCACCCCTCACATGAGATTCGCGTTTTATAGTCTCGTATTTGTTTTGTCCGTTAATTGATTAAAAACAAATGTTTTATTGTGTAAAAAGTTTTGATTTTATATTTAATATAGTTTTTTGTTTTTTTCTAGAATTGGATTAAAGTTTTTGTTGTTTTTAATTTAATTATTGATTATTTTTGGTGATTTGATTTGATTGTAAAGTTTTGTTTTAGTAACTCAATGACAAACTCCACGCACTAGTCATTGCTATTAATTTATGTTTATTTATTCATAGTATGAGTTGAATATTATTATTATTTTTTTTATATGAAATGAGTTATCATTTCTTATTTTATGATTTAATTCAAAATTAAATTAAAACTTTTATTTATATATTTGTTTATTTCATTAACTTGTGGCAATAGTTTTTCTTATTTTTTTGAAATTTATTTTTGATTAGTTTTTCTAATGATTTCAATTTTCTGTTATCATTTTTGTGTAAAATACTTGTATAAAAAACAATGTTTTGTCTATAAAGTTAAAGAGTAAATGAATAACAAATTAATAAATCACTAAAAATATATTTAGCACTTAAAAAGGCGATGATTAACTTATTGATTATATATTCGCGTAATATTTAAGTACAGATTGTAAATAAATAAGTATTTTAAATGTTATCCGTTTACGTGTTTGAGTCAAATTTAATTTAATGGGAAAACCATTAAAAACACAAATATCTAAACACACGATCAATGCGTTACTAAGTCTAATAGTAATACAAATTAATAAATACAGAGAATTTATAAAGTTTTTATACAATTATTATCATTACGGTTGAGATTTTTTTTATGAGTATATTCATAGAAAAGTACAAATGCTTTGTCTAATTCATCATTGCATAGGAATTTTAATACATCACTAATAATAGAAATCGTTTTCAATATAATTAAATTATTATTCATTACTTATTTCGGTTATAAATCTGAGCCAATGGCTCATCAAATATAGCGATCGGGACATCCATTTCGTACTTATATTTATCGATCATTTCTAAGATCTCATTGAAAACGTGGTTCTCGTATGTGTTGAACATATTATCCAAACCCAAGTCCTCGTAGATCTGTCGGATCTGTTTGACGGACTCGTAGTCCTTACTTCCGTAATGTGTTTGCAATACCTGGCGCTGGGTTTGGGAGCAGTACTCCAGCGCCGTTACGATAGGCCAACAGCACTTCCCGTCCTCTATATCGGTGCCTATCTTTCCGGTGATAAACGAGTCGCCAAAACAGTCTAAGTAGTCATCCCTGGCCTGGAATAAGTGGCCCATTCTTAGCAGTATTTGCTCCACTAATTGGTGATCTTTCGCTGAATTATAATCCGATAAATACATCGCTATTTTGAATGAGAATTTCAATTATGAGTAAGATTTCAAAATATTCTGTAGTTTGATCCCATACCCAATCGGACAGGCATTACACACGTATAGTAGGAGGTCTTATATTTGACAATCGCTGAGTACTTATCAAAAGTATAGTCATTTAAATCAGGCCTCCTATTCCCAGGATTTGATAGCATATCCAAACACTGGCCGTACGCTGTCTTACGGAAAACCTAATTAAAAAATTAATCAAGAATAAATAGAAATTTAATAAAAAATAATCATGTTAATGTTTAACTTACCTCTTGAATGAGTTCAACGATATCCATATAATAAGGTTTGTTTTTGAAGTGAAGTTTCACCAAATGATAAATACCGGACTCAATGAGAGTCGCGTCGTTACAAGCTATCAGACCCACGCCTTCCTAACATTCAAACAACAAATTAAAAATTAATGAAAAATATATGATTTAAAAACCTTTTCAAACTCATTACCTGTCGGTACCAACACTTTTGACCTCTTCTAGTGATAGACTCATCCATAATATCGTCCAGAATGAGAAAGTATGCCTGAAATAGCTCCAGAGCCCATCCCAGGGCTCGGACACTGTCCAGCATTTGCGGTGACTTCTGGTCATCGGTGGCCATCAAGTGATAGCTAATAACAGCCATTAGCCCACGATTTCGTTTACCTTTTGGCACATTATAGTCAATCACTCGTCGGAACCACTCATTGGCCACCGATAACTCGTTTGAGTTATAGTGTCCATCAAACGTAGGATTAGATGACAATTGGTTGAGAATCTTGTGGTAAGTCTTGTCGAAAAGTATGCGTTCATTGCGGCGAAGGTTTTCCAGCGGTTCCGACGTCTTCGGCGTATAAATGGCTGGTTTTTGAGCCAAATGTGATTCACATCTCGCGAGTTGTCGCAGAAATGAGTGTTTAGTCGACGATTGACTCAAACTTTTATTGATTAGTCTGAACATCACGTCAATAGTTGTGTCGACTGTCGATAGGAAACACTTTTTCGAGAGTAAGAAAAATAAAACTTTTTAATCAAATGTTTTTTATTTTGTAGAAAAAGTTTCTTAATATAAGAGTCGTACGAATCCTTGAGTATAACGTATTACTGTATGTATTCATACGGCAATCAGATAATAAGTTTAGATTTTACTACTTTTATTAAAAATAGTTTTTAAATGTGTAATAAACAGCGTTTAATTTTAATATAAGCTTATAAAACCACATGATTAGAAATTATAATTTAGAATATACAGTGAATAATTTATACAGTATTAGATAATTATAAATGAATTTTATAATACATTATTTTTATATACAATAATTTCACCAAAAATTCAGAAAATACCTATTAATGGAGGTTACTATAATATAATACAATCTTTATTTTTAGTAATAAATGTACAGTATTATAAATATATTAAGTTACATATTCACTTACATACAAATTATATTAATATACACATAATAAGTTACAATAAAATTATAACAAAACCATAAAATGCATACAAGAAATCTGTTTAAAAGGAAAATTAGCATTAAATAAATATATTAACACTAAAAAATAAATAATTTAATAATTTCAATTCAGTGATTACATAAAAAAGTTAAAATTTGATTACATTTGAGTCTATGTTAAACAAATTATACAAACTTTTGCTACACTAATAAAACTCGACAAATATTATACTAATTACTTGTCATTAAACATACCGTCCAAATAATGTCCGTTTTGAAAGTATCTGGGACATACAGTGGACCAGTACAAATTGCCCCGACACCCGTGCAACACTTCGTCCACATACCTGTCCAGCACCGGCAGCTTATACTCATAGAGTCGTTCGGCGTAATGAAGAGCCATTTCCCACAAACCATGCACTTCTGCCACCGCCTGATCGACAGCCTGTTGAGCAGTATAGCCCTCGTTAGCCATCAGTACGTACTGATAGCTGTACTCTCCCTCCTCTTCGCTGACCTCTGAGGACACGGAATAGATATCATTGACAAGTATCGCGTGTTTAGAGGCCGTCTTATTAAAGGACAGCCACAGGGGGTCGTCGGTCAGCCCCCACTCAATGGGGTCGATGCCGACCGACAGTTCTGCCAATTGCCACACAAAGTCGCCGCCGTTATCCCGTTCCCTGAGACCCACAACACCATAAACATGTGTTTAGTGATAGGAAAGGACGATAAACGAGAGCGTAATACCTGAGCGACCAGAACTCCTCGTGAGTCAACGGCCTGTCCTTATGTTTGGTGATATAGGTGCCAATCCAACCGACACAGAAACTCACGTGCCGTACGTACTGATCGGGGCTCATATAGTGCCTCAATAGAGACAACGCTTTAACGCCCATTCTATCAAACGGGTTGTCCCCACCACTGGTGCCCATCATATACTTCATCTGCCATTCACTACCGAAACGAACAGTTAGGTTACGTTAGGTTTGGATTTATTGGGGTTGATAACCATGCTTATGATGAACACTACCTGAGCTCTCGGACACTATCTGCACCCTGTTTTGCCAGCACATCCAAGTAGTCGTCAAAAGTGAAGGCAAAGATACCCCAGTAATTGATGGCATACCAAAGCTCCCGATCGGTGGTTGTGAGGCAATGGGTATAAAAGCCGGTGATATCGATGTTGTCTTTCATGGGTCGGCCGTATGCTTCGGTGAGCTGTTTGGCGGACTCCTGTAGGGCCCAGTCGTGTAGTGGATTGGGTGCCACCGGTTCCGGTGTGAGCCCACGGATGTCGCACTGCGATAAAGTCTTGACGTCCGGCTCAACACCCGTATTGACGGGCGGTTTGTTTGCGTACTGTTTGGGTATGGAGTCCACGAAATGTAGCCAAAGGGGCCGTTCGGTAGCGGTGGTCGACCTGTCCATTGGGGGTCAGACTATAAGAGAAAGGCTATATGATTATGGCTTAAGTCGATTCAATGCTTTATTATCGGACAAATAATTATTATTGTAATAAAGGTAGCAATTTATAAGTGATGTACGATATATTCAAACATTAAACTGAATACTACACTACATTGATCAGAATATTCTAGAGGCCATACATTTATTCTTACATTTATTGTGAGTAGATTAAATTTGATAAGATATTAATGTCAAGACAAAAGTGATTGTCAATAGTTATTAAAGTAAAACAACGACTTTTCTATGTTTCAAACTTTCAATACTACGCTCGACAATAACTATTGAGACTACGAAGATTATCTATAATAGTGGCCAAATATATTTGCAAAGTAAAATTCATGGAAACTTGGGTAGTTATGAGCCTTGATCAAAATAGTCAAGTCAATTTATAGCACACGTTACAATATTCAAGAAAAGTTAAATTTATATATAAAAGTAAAACTTTTAATTTAATTCAAGCAAGGGCATAAATATTAACAAAAATATTTTGACAGAAAATTAAAAAATTCCTGAATGTTTGAAAACTCTTTTAAATCATCCAGGTGTGTGGGTAGTGTCATATTTAAAGAAGCATTGATAACCCGGTGATTTAACTATTTTTAAAAATTCTATTAATAACTACCGTTCCCAGGAGTGCCCATCAAGGTTGAATGATCCATGATTTCTAGACACCATATGCTTCAATTGAATTCAATTTTATTTAAAGAGTAATGTTGTCATCTAATAACAGATGATATTCTTAACAAGTACTCTATACTTAAATACAATTAAATGCTTATAAAAATAATTAAAAAATAGATAACAATTTTGATTTAAAAGTTTTAAAATCTTTACAATTTCTAAGAGATAATGATAAGGAGTTATACAATTGAATGCCTTTAAAAAACACAGTATTTTGAGTATAATTATGTTTAGGAGTCGATAAGCTTAAACCATATGTAAGAATATACCGTAGAGCCAAATAGCTTGGTACAGTGTAACATGCCATAAAAATAGTATACATAAAAAGGCATTATACCAGTACATTTTGAGAACAAGCTGTAAAGTACAGGTCAAACTTACCCCTGATTTTCATTCCCTTTCCCTTCCCTTTCCCTTAATTTTTGCTTAAAGGGATTCCCTTTCCCTTCCCGACTTACGTGTCGGGAATCCCTTTCCCTTCCCTTAAATTCCCTTATAAATTTGGGTATAAAATTACAATTGAAATGAGCATTTAAT